ATGAGTCCCACAAAAAAACATTCCTTGGAAAAGCTGAACAAAATGAGTGAAAACTCATACCGTCGCTCTCATCGGAACTGAGGTCCAGCACGTTGAAGAGAATTGAAGTGCTGATCATTGGACCTGGGCCCATTTCTCAAGCATACATTTGATGTCTTTACTCTTCTTAGGAGCAGTTGTCATGACAGATCCATCGCTTGCTGGAAAGGAAGGTGGTCGATTCTTCTGACCAACGGAGGCTGTGTTGACTTCTTGATTCGGTGTAGCCTGACATGTACAGTGCACCCCGTGCTGGTGGGTGGCTCAGGATGGTAAGCATTTCTCTGCCCTGCATGCAGAGGTGTCTTTCAAATTTCTGAGACCTGCAAAGAGCTGTGTCTCAGCCAGCCACAAATGGCGTGGCAAGTTCCACTTCCTGAATTAATATTCTGTGCCCATTGCTCAGTGGCGTGATTCTGGGTTCCACAGGGTGCCAAAGGTCTTTAAGGTCATTGGCTTACGCACTGCCTAGCCTGTGGTGTCAAACATCCTGCCTTTTTAAATGTGCTTGGATCGATGATGAGTTCTCCAAAAAAACATTCCTTGGAAAAGCTGAACAAAATGAGTGAAAACTCATACCGTCGCTCTCATCGGAACTGAGGTCCAGCACATTGCCTCCCCTGGGTACTGTAATAGTGAGGGACATCTTCCACTAGTCCCCATGGTTCCATCACCCAGCACGTTTACAACTCAAAGTCTCCCATCATAGACATTAGGAACATTCTCTTTGTGTAACATAGACTGATGGGAAAGTCGTGGGGATGATCGGCCACTCTGTGATGTCTTGGTGGCCGTGGAAATAGGCAGAAATGTCTTGACCTAGGGCAGTGTACGGCTGACCTTGGCTTGGTGAACTCCCAGGAAGGGAGTCCCAGACCTCACAGTGGGTGTCTACGCACAGGACCGCATTCTGGTTCCCCTGCTGAGGAGAGCACGAGGCCCAGCCTTCAGGCAGACCTCGGCCTTCATTTTCTGTTAGCTGATGACAGGGGAGTTCCAAGGTGATGGAGGAGAGTGCAGAGCAATGGGTGTTGCAGCAGACCATTAAATCCTCTTCAGCCGTCCTTCCAGGGTTGGTCACAGGTGCCCCCGGCATGGATTTCTTCGCATCCCTAGCCATGAGATGTCCGTGTTACAGTGGCTAAGTCCTGAGCAGGATGGTACCACAGAGAAAAGGCAGTAGAGCGTTGTGTGGACATGCATGTCGTCAGTGGTTTCGGGCTGCCATTTGGCAGTGATGAGCTTTCCTGATTCCTCTGGTGGACCACAGGATAGCCATGGTGGGTCTTTGAGGGCTTGTCTCTGGGCAAGTGAGTGTTGGGGTGTTGTCTGTAGCCCTGGGTCACTTCTGGTCTTCCCAGCAGAGTAGTGGGCTCCACCATTGTACACATCTTCCTGGAAATGGTCTCCTGGCCCACATTTTCCGGCAGCCCCACCTGCTGCAATTCATGTGAGCATATACTGCTCTGGTTTCCTCTTTGCCACTTGGAAAGCAATTTCCATTCCAAAGGCACCCAGAGGGAATGTGTCCTGGTCCTGGCCCTGGTCCAGGACTCTCTAGTGGGCTCCAGTCATGCTTGGGGCCATCCACGGAGGTCTGTGTGCGTTCTGGGCAGCATGTATGCAGTCCCAGGGGCATTGGCCACAGAGAGTCTCTTTGATTTGGGATGCCTCCATGCCTCGGCTTGTTGGCAACGTTCCAGTGTTGGATTCTGCTACACCGTAGGCACGATGAAGCGTTTCAGTTCTCTTAACTGTTTTGAAGTCTCAGGGTAGCCAGGACAGGCATGCCACTTTGAAGGGCACATGGTTGGCTTAGAGCTGGAAAGGATTGGTGGTTCTACAGCTTATAGCTCATGTAGCAGACAGGTGCATGTAGACCCAGTGGTGTTGAGGCAGTGCTGACTTGCAGGCACTGTGGTGGGTGGTAGTGCAGTCTGGTTGGCTGTGTGAGGTGATATCACCTCAGAGGTCACTGCAGAGAAGCCCTGTAGATGTGTCCAATGCAAGAATGATGACAGGCAGTGTGTCCTGTCAACCTGGTCCTTGGGGGAGGTGGGGGTCAGGCAGAGACGTCCCATTGGAAAAGTAGCCATTCCCTTTGGGTATCCTGAGGGCACAGTTTGGGCATATGGACTGGGTGGAGGGGAGAAGGCCCGCATTTTGAGGTGGTTTGCTGGTTAGGAAGACTGCTTTTGGCCTTGATGCCAAGTTTCAGACCTATGTGCTGGACTTTGCTAAGGCACCCCTACCCAGCAGTGGTCGTGACTGGTTTTCCGCTATGTGCACCTCACCTGACATGGTGACCAGAGACAGTGTCTGATCACGACATCGGATGTCCCATGAATAGCAGTGTGTGCTCATGCCAGGGGTTGTGGCTGATAGACAAGGAACCTCCGGCCTATGTTTGCATGGCCTCAAGGTCAAAGTTTACATCCTGCTGATTAAAGGCCTGGGTCTTGAGCCTTTGGGTTGTGGGGGCATCCAGCTCTGGAGGCTGCCGACCATGCCTGCCCCTGCGGTGGTGGTAAACACAGAAGCGAAAGGGAGAGATACATACACAGATAACACTTACTCTCACGCACACATACAAAGACAGGCGTGCACAGACACAGGCAGATAGATTCAACAGTGGGTGCATCCTGTCGTTTCGGTCACAGATGCTTCCTAGGTGTCCACAGAGTGACACGGGTCAGGTATATTCATGGAATGGAGGTTAACGAAAAGCAAGCCTGCGAGTTGCTCTGTGGGAAACAATGACATTGGAGTGGTGACCAGTGGACCTGGGCTCATTTCTCAAACATTAATTTGGCTTCTTTACACTACTCAGGGGCACTTGCCATGGGGGCCTACAGTCTGCTGGCAAGGAAGATAGTCGATTTTCTAAGCAGTGAAGGCCGCACGGAGTCCTGGATTTGGTGTGACCTGGCATCCACAGTGCACCTCGTGCTGGCGGACAGCTCAATACGGTAAGCATTCCTCTGCCCCTCATGAGTGGGAGTGTCATTCAGGTTTCTGAGACTCACAAGGAGCGGTTCCTCAGCAGGCCATTAAGGGCATGGCCGAAGTCTTTAAGGTTATCGGCTCACCCACTGCCCAGCCTGTCGTGTCAGATGTCCTGCCTGTTCCAATGTGCTTGGATCGATGATGAGTCCTCCCAAAAAAAACATTCCTTGGAAAAGCTGAACAAAATGAGTGAAAACTCATACCGTCGCTCTCATCGGAACTGAGGTCCAGCACATTGCCTCCCCCGGGGCCTGTAGGAGTGAGGGACGAGGAGAAGCAGGTGTATAAGTTGTCCGTTGGGAAAGACTGATATTGATGTGACCAGTGGATCTGAGCTTGTTCCTCAAGTGTACCTTTGATATCTTTGCATTTCTCAGGGGCAGTTGCCTTGAGAGGATCACCAGATGCTGCCGCAACAGATGGTCGATTGTTCCAAGCAACGGAGTCCC